CTGGCAGTCGTCGTGATCGTGGTCCTCCGCCTAATATCTCCTTCCCCTCGCCTCCTGCATTTGTGTTGAGACGTAGAGGACTTGTCGTTTTTCAGATCACGATGTCGCCGCCTCCGTCGCATGGCCTGGATTAGCCTGGCTTGACCTAACCTGACCTGACTTGCTCGGAGGTGCACCCAGCTGCCCTGATGCTTCGACGCAGCCACGAGGAGCCAGTTTTGGGGTGGGGTGATTTGCACAGGGTCACCCCCGCCCGCGCGACGCCATGGCCACCTACGACTATGACCTCTTTGTAATAGGCGGGCTCGCCTGCGCAGCTGCCACCCCGCTCCACTTCTCGTCGAGCCTCAGCCTCCCCATCGTCGTGCTCCTCCGATCCTCCGCCCATGCCCCCCGCTCCTCCCTCCCCGCTCCGACCCGCTGCCTCCTCCCGCCCCATCCCCATGCCGATGGCCGCCCGCGGCCCCCGGGGGTTGACTCGCGTGGGGCGCACGGGGCGCCGCCGGGCTGCTCTCCCCCCGGTGCACCTGGCCGCCATCGCCGCCGCGTGTCCCGAGACGGTGGGCGGGGTCCAGTGGAGCGGGGCCAACGTCCGAGGCTCGCAGGAGTCTCGGTGGCCGTCGACAGCCCCGCTTTCGAGGAAACTCGTGAGCAGGGGACAGTCTGCCAGGAGGGGTACGGAGTAGCGCTCCTCGTGCAGAGGCCTAGCCTTTCTCCAGCAGCAGCATGCTTGATGCGGGCATCCTGGGTCCATCGGGGGCAAAGTCGGCGGGGGATTGGCCCAAGTGGGGGAAGCATCGACTTCCAATCGCCCATTCTTTCTCCCTCCCTCTCTCTTTCTCCCGCTCTCCCATTATTTCCTCGAATTGCGTTTTTTTGTTTCTCCCTCTCTCTTTCTCTTTGTTCACTCTCTGTCTCTCTCCCTCTATACATCATTCCCAGCCTTCCTGCGTTGGGTTCTCGTTGCAAGTACAGCACTGCAGTCGCACGCCCCTTCTCCCGCCTCCCTTTCCTCCCTCCTGCCTTTCACCTGTTCTTCTCCTGCTCTGCCTGTCAGCCTGCCTCTCCTGTCTTGCCTGCCAACCCGGCTCCTACCTCGCCGTCTACGTGACCTCGCTACCTCTCGGGGGGGCTGCGAGCTGCGAAACTATCGCCACTTTCGAGAGCTTCTGGGGGGGGGGGCAGCATAGTGGGCACCAGGCGCGCATTCAGATTAGGCCTCTCCATCCTTGCGGGGCTGTGAACAGCGAAATTGTCGCCACTTTCGAGGGCTGTCGGGGGGGCAGCATAGTGGGTACCAGCCGCGGATTCATTAGACTTCGCCAGCCCTGCGGGGCTGCGATCTGCGAGGCTGTCGTTATTTTCGAGGGCTGCTGGTGGGGCCAGCATAGTGGGTACCAGGCGCGTATTCAACTTAGACCTTGTCATCTCTGGGGGCCTGAAAGCTGCGAAACTGTCACACTTCCGAGGGCTGCTGTGGGGACAGCACAATCGGTTCGGTGCCAGGCGCGGATTCAGATTAGACCTCGCCATCCCTGGGGGGCTGCGAACTGCGACACTGTTGCCGCGTTCGAAGGCTGCCTGGGGGGCCAGCATGCAGAGTAGATCTTGCCATCGCTGGGGGGCTGCAAACTGCGAAGCTGTCGCCACTTTCGATGGCTGCTAGGGGGACAGTATAGTGGGTACCAGGCGCGGATTCAGATTGGATCTCGCCATCCTTGTGGGGCTGCGAACAGCGAAGCTGTCGTCACTTCTGGGGGCTGCTGGGGGGCCAACATAGTGGGTACCAGGCGCGTATTCAGATTAGACGTCGCCAGCCCTGGGGGGCTGCGAACTACGAAGCTGTCGCCACTTTCGAGGGCTGCTGGGGGGCGGATTCAGAGTAGTCCTCGCTATCCTTAGGGGGCCGCGAAATGCGACACTGTTGCCGCGTTCGAAGGCTGCTGGGGGGGCCAGGATCTTGCCATCCCTGTGGGGCTGCGAACTGCGAAGCTGTCGCCACTTTCGATGGCTGCCCAGGGGGACAGTATAGTGGGTACCAGGCGCGGATTCAGATTGGATCTCGGCATCCTTGTGGGGCTGCGAACTGCGAAGCTGTCGCCACTTTCGAGGGCTGCTGGGGGGGCCAACATGGTGGGTTACCAGGCGCAGATTCAGATTAGACCTCGCCATCCCTGGAGGGCTGCGAACTGCGAAGCTGTCGCCACTTTCGAGGGCTGCTGGGGGCCAGCCTAGTGGGTACCAGGCGGATTCAGATTAGACCTCGCTATCCCTGGGGGGCTGCGAACTGCGAGGCTGTCGTTATTTTCGATGGCTGCTGGGGGGCCAGTACAGTGGGTACCAGGCGCGTATTCAGATTAGACCTCGCTATCCCTGGGGGGCTGCGAACTGCGAGGCTGTCGTTATTTTCGAGGGCTGCTGGGGGGCTAGTACACTGGGTGCCAGGCGCGGATTCAGATTAGACCTCGCCATCCCTGGGGGGCTGCGAACTGCGAAATTGCTACCGCTTTCGAGGGCTGTTGGGGGGGAGCATCATGGTGGGTGCCAGGCGCGGATTCAGATCGGACCTCGCCATCCCTGGGGGGCTGCGAACTGCGAAGATGTCACCACTTTCGAGGGTTGTTGGGGGGCAGCATAGTGGTACCGGACGCGGATTCAGATTAAACCTCGCCATTTATTTTGTATGTGTGTGTGTGTGTGTTTGTGTGGGGGGCGCGAACTGTGCGAGGCTGTCGCCACTTTCGAGGGTTGTTGGGGTGACCAGCATCGCGGGTGCCAGGTGCGGATTCTGATTGGAACTCGCCATCCTTGGGGGGTTGCGAACTGGGGCAGCATAGTGGGTACCAGGCGCATATTCAGGTTAGGCCTTGCCATCCCTTCGGGGCTGCGAACTGCGAGGCTGTCGCCACTTTCGAGGGCTGCTGAGGGGGGAGGGGGGCTGCGTAGTGGGTATCAGGCGCTGATCTAGATTGGACCTCGCCATCCCTGGCGGGCTGCGAACTGCGCAGCTGTCGCCACGTTCGATGCCTGCTGGGGGTGGCAGTATAGTGGGTGCCAGGGCGCGGATTCAGATTGGACCTCGCCATCCTTGGGGGGCTGCGAACTGCGAAGATGTCGCCACTTTCGAGGGCTGCGGGGGGGCATCATAGTGGGTACTGGGCGCAGATTCAGATTAGACCTCGCCATCCTTGGGGGGCTGTCTCGCTGTTTACGTGACCTCGCTACCTCTCGGGGGGGCTGCGAGCTGCGAAACTATCGCCACTTCCGAGGGTTGCTGCTGGGGGGGCCAGCATAGTGGGCGCCAGGCGCAGATTCAGATTGGACTTCGCCAGCCCTGCTGATTGTCACCACTTTCGAGGGCTGCTGGGGGGGAAGCACACTGGGTGCCAGGCGCAGATTCAGATTAGATCTTGCCAGTCCGTGGGGGGGGTGCGAACTGCGAACTCGTGGTCCCGTTCGAGAGCCGCAACATGGTGGGTGCTAGGCGCAGACTCAGATTAGACCTCCATCCCTAGGGGGCCGCGAACTGCGACATTACTTCCTCGTTCGAAGGCTGCCGTGCGTGGGGGGAGCATCGTGGGTGCCAGGTGCAGAGTCAGATTGGCTGAATCACGAATCGTGTGCGTTCGTATCCACGAATAGGAGGCGCCCGTTCTTCTCGGTGGATCTGCCAGGAGAGTTCTTCTCACCGATTTCAGCAGCACCCTGTCAGCCTCGTTTGGCGCATGCCAAGCCCAGCTTGCCCATCTTGGTGTTGATTGCGGGTCAATGGGGGGCGCCCAAAAGGAGGGGGGTGAAGACGAGGGTGTGTGGCTATCTTGTCCGTGGCCACGGCATCTTTCCGAATTCCATAGCCATTTCTTCTTGTCTGGCGACGCCCCTTGCCCCTCCCTGGGCCGCGCATGCGCCTCGGGCCATGCTCTGCGAACCCCCCTTCTTGGGAACCCCTCCTGGACGCCCCCGAGTCTAGGGACGCTTCCGCTGCCGGTGCTCCTCGTGCACGTCAGCCGAGACGCGCATGCCCGCGAGAGGCCGCGCCGGGCAGCTCGCAGCTCGCAGCTCTCGCCGACGTGCTCCCGACGGAAGCCGCAGGGGTTCACGAGCTGACCTCGTCTTCGGACGCCTGACCCCCCAGACCCCCTCGCGTTGTGAAAAAATCACCGCGGGAGGTTTTTCGCTATTTTTGGTCTTTGGGGGCCCTCGCCAGGCCTCGGGACCGTCAAAAAAAGAGTCAGGATGACAAGCGGGTCCTGGGGAACGGGTCCGGGCCTCTGGGGGTCGCCTTTCTGGAAAAATCATGGCGTCGGGGGTCTGGGGACACGGGTACGTGAAAGTGGGCACGATGCCCAACAGCAAATGTTGCCCAGAGCCGTCCGCGGCCGCTGTCGGGCAGGGGTCCTCGCGCCTTAGATGGGCAGCGTCCGCGGCGACGCCGACTGCGAGTCCTGCCCAAAATGAGCAGGAGCTGCCGTCGGTCTCTGCACGCAATCGGCTTGGCTGCGTGCAGTGCCGGCTGGAGGCCGGCGGCGCAGGGGGGCTGGAGGCTGGAGGCTGCCTCCCGCCTCCGGCCTCGCCTCCCCGCTCCTCCTCCCCCCCAGTCTGCAGAGATGGTGGTTTCGCTGCTGTTCGAGAGATGTAGCCAGGAGCAGTTCACACGTCTCTCGATCGCGCCCCCACCAACCAGCCAACCATCTCGATCGTACCGATCGTCGCCGCAGCTAGGGGGCCACATGCGAACCCTACCCCTACCCCCCACGATTTCTGAGGGGGAGGGTGGGGTTCACTTCGCTCGGGAGCTCCCGAACGAAGTGAACCCCACCCGCCCCCTCGGAAATCGTGGGGGGTAGGGGTAGGGTTCGCATGTGGCCCCCAAGCAGCGTGCACGTGCCAGGCGCCCCCGCGCGAGGCAGAGCCCTCGGGGATGCCGCCCGTCGGCGGCGCGGCCCGCGGCCTCGCCCGCCTGCAAAAACGCGCCCCCCTCTCGCGCGCCGCGCCCCGAGGCGGCGGCTCTGGGGGCATGGCCGCCTCCAAGAAGGCCGCAGATCTGGGGGCCAAGGCTGGCGCCCGCGCGCGCCCCGATCCCCCCCCACTCCGCACCCTCTTCTTCTTTTTCTCCTCCTTCTCCGTCGTCGTCTCCTTCTTCTTCGTCGTCTCCTTCTTCTTCGTCGTTTCCTTCTTCTTCTTCTTCTCCTTCTTCTTCGTCTTCTTCTTCTTCTCCGCTCCGACACCCTCCCCTGTCCTTCCCTTCCCCCCTCCTCCTCCTCCTCCTCCCCCCCCCTCCACCCTCCCCACCTCCGCGACCCCCTCCTCCTCCTTCCCCCCATCCCTCCGCCCTCCCCGCCCATCCGCGCCACCCCCCCGCTCCGCCCTCTCGAGCCTCCGCCTGCCCCCCCGTGTGTGCTGCCCCCCCCCCCCCCTGCCTCCGACGGCCCCCCCTCTCCCCCCCCTCTCCTCTTCCTCTCTCCTCCTCCTCCTCCTCCTCCTCCTCCTCTTCTCTTCCTCCTCCTCCTCCTCCCTCTGCCCCTCCGCTCCCCCTCTCCCCTGCCCGAAGCAGCAGCAAGACGGCATCGGCACCGATCCTTCTGGGGCCCCATCATGGACGTCTCGGATATCCGCGCTGGGGCCTCCCGCCCCCCTGGCGGCGCGCCGGGGCGCTCCGCCGCGCGCGCGCTCCAGGGGAGGGGGGAGCCCTGCGCCCGAAGCCCAAGGCATCTGCGCGGAGCTCCGCGCATTCTGTGCACGGGCCGCGTTTCTGTCTCGGCGTGTCTGCCCTTCCATTCCCTCCTCGTCCTCCTCGTCCTCCTCCCCCTCCTCCTCCTCCTCCTCCTCCTCCTCCTTCTCCTCCTCCTCCTCCTCGGCATCGATGCAGATTCAGTCCTCGTCCTCCCTCCTCCTCCTCCTCCTCCTCCTCCTCCTCTTCCTCCTCCTCCTCGCGCTCTTGCACGCCAGGCAGTTTGCCTATCGGTGCCCACGATTAGCCCAACGCTGGTGCGGATCGCCGCCGCCTCACCGCCGACGGACAAAGCGTCTGTCCTTCCAGCCCCCTCCCCCCGCCCACTCACCGCCCGCTTGCCTCTTTCTTTGTCCGCCTCGCCCTCCGCGCCGCCCTCCCGCTCCGCCCTTCCCCTGGGCCCCCCGCCTCGCCGTTCTGTTCCCCGCCGGCGCCTGCCCTTGCTGCCCCCCCCCTGAGGACAGCACAACCCACCCCCACCCCCAGCCAGGAGCTCTACCTCCGACCTGGTGATCCAGCGGGTGTTGGCTGGGGGTGGGGTGGGAGTTTGACGTTCTTGGGGGCCGAAAAATTCCCCCCCCCCCCCCCCCCCCCAGCCAAGACGGCCAGGGTCACCAGGCCGAGAGTGGGGGTCCTGGCAGCGGGTGGGGGTGGGTTGTGCTGTCCTCACCTTCCCGTGTATCGTCCCCTTCGCTTCCCTGCCCTCGATCCCCCAAAACTTCGATCCCCCAAACCTTCGATCCTCGAACCCAGGTCACCAGAAACCTTATTCCTGGACCTCGATTCCCTGGCATCGTTCCCCGAACACCTCGATCCCCGAGCCTCGACTTGCGCCCTCCTCCCTGCCGCGAGGGGTGGATTGGGTTGGGGTGGGGCAGGGATGTCCGTGAGGAAAGCTTGCGCGGATGTGGGATTGAGGGGGGCGGAGGGAGGAGGTGTGCAGAAGTTCGGGAGGAGGACCAGGAACAGGATCAGGGGCAGGAGCAGTGTAAGGGGAGAGGCAGAAGAGGAGGAGGAGGAGGAGGAGGAGGAGGAGGAGGAGGAGGAGGAGGAGGAGGAGGAGGAGGAGGAGGAGGAGGAGGAGGAGGAGGAGGAGGAGGAGGAGGAGGAGGAGGAGGAGGAGGAGGAGGAGGAGGAGGAGGAGGAGGAGGAGGAGGAGGAGGAGGAGGAAAAAGACGAGGAGGAGGAGGAGGAGGAGGAGGAGGAGGAGGAGGAGAAGGAGGAGGAGGACGAGGACGAGGACGAGGACGGGGAGGAGGAGGAGGAGGAGGAAAACGAGGGGTTGGAGGAGATTGAGGAGTGCAGGACGGTGGGCAGCGCACCGCTATTGTACCGCAAGGCGCCGCTGGCGTGGGCCCCTGACCTGGACGGTGGGTCTGGGCCCTCAGGGATTGCTGCCGCGCTGGACACCCTGCAGCGCGAGTGCCTGGAGGTCCGGCAGCACGGCGAGGTGCGACCTCTGAACCTGGACGAGGCCTTACCCGAGGAGGTGCTGGAGTCCGTCGGCGAGGCGCCGACCCCCCGGGCCATCGTCAAGGCCGCCGCGGCCTTCAAGGCTTCGGCCGCAGGGGTGGACAGCATCAAGTCCCAGTCATTCGGCCACTTGAGCGACGACGGCCTCGTCGAGTTCGGGCTATTGTTGAAGGTGTTGGAGGCGACCTGCAAGATCCCTGGGCCTCGCAACATGGTCTACATTCTCTTCCATGCGGCGGCTGGATAAGGGGGCTGGCGCGCTACCGGCTGCCTCAGCAGCCCTGTCTGCTCACGGGGGGCAAGACTCGTCGGGACGAGGCCTAGGAGCGGGAGCGCCAGAATGCCAGGGACTTCTTCTACGGTGGCGTGAGCAAGTCATGCGAGGACGCGGTCTGGCTCCAGGCCATCGACGCGGACATGGCGGCAGCGATGCAGGAACATTCGATGTCGTCGCTGTTCGACCTTTCCAATGCCTACGAGAGTGTCCGCCACTCAGGCCTGGTTACGGCCGCTCGTCGTCACGGCTTCAGGTTGAGGCGCCTGAAATTCATCCTCGGCACGTGCGGAGAGCCGCGCCGCCTGTGACTGGGTAAGTGGATGTCCGACAACTTCTCGCTCGGGACCTCCATCGTCATGGGGTGTGCCTTCGCGATCACGGTCTCCAAGGTGATGCGTCCAATGGCCGTGGACCTCCTCATGAGCAGCTGGCTCACGGTGCGCGCCTACCTGATGGTGGGTGACGTCACGCTGACAGTCTGTGGGCGCCTGAAGCACGTGGAGTTCGCAGCCTTCGGAGCGACCAGGTGGCTGAGAGCGCTTGGAGGAGGACGGTGTCAAGAGATCGCCCACCAAGGGAGAGATCACCTGCCGCGACCTCGAGGCAGGCAAGAGAACGGCCCTCCGTCTGCGGAAGGGGGGGGTTTCAGGCTGCGCCGAGAGGCCTAAAACCCGGGGATCGACTCCAGGCTGGATGGCAGGGCGTTCTGGTCAGTGCCTCGTGGCCGGTCAGATCGGTTGTCGGTCAGGGCCTCGCGCTGCATCATGCAGCTGCGGCGCGCGTGAGCCAAGCTGGGAGCCGTCTACAGGTGCAGCGGCCTCGCCACCATCGTGCATGGGGATCGCGTTCGAGGTGCCCCGACGTATATTCTTAACGGTCAGTCCCTCGCGGGGGCCAGCGGGCTCAAGAGCATGACGCTGCAGATCGCCATCCAGGCTTGGCAGGGTTGGCAGCGTGACCCCGCCTGTGCGGCCCGCTGCCTACCGCTGCTGGCTGGGGCTAAGGCGGTGTGTGCCAGGATCAGGGCCGTGGGCGGCCTGGAGCTGGTCGTCGAGGCGGTGAGACCCGTCCGCTGGGGTCATGTTACTGGGCGAGCAGGGGCCGTGTGCCTCAGCTTCGATCGCGTGGGATGGGCCAACTCCTGGCACGTCTGGACTACCGGCAAGAGTGAGCAGATTGAGCTCCAGATCCACGGCCCGACGTTGGTCGGGATGCTGGTCGAGCGTGGCGTGCAGAGATCGTTGCGCAGGCAAGTGCCCGACCACTTCCAAGGGTAGCTGTAGGGGCCGTCGACCTTGTACCCTGAGCGCGCGGCGCTGGACTCCCTGCGAGCGCTAGGGGACAACGAGCAGGTGGCCTCACAACCCGCTAGATTAAACAGTGCGGACCAGAGAAGTCGCGCAAGATGTGCCAATATGATCTGGTTAGGCCCCGGGGCCCCCGTGCAATGTTGCAGAGACCAGTCCAGGTGTTCTCCGGTCGTTCAGGAAGGAGGCCAGAGAGTGTTTTTGGAAGAAGCATTTAGCGGGTTCGCGATTCTCCGGTTCCTCCTTCCTCGCGTTTCATATTCAAATTGCCAAATGGGGCGAGGACCGCAGCATCGCGGTTCCGCCCAATATTTTCTCTCAAACAACTCCCCGGTTGCTTTTCCGGAGCAACTGGAGAATGAGTCTTGTACTCAGAGAAAGACGATTTCGCTTAGGACCCCTTCGGAACGAATTTCCAGTTCCATGTCCAGCCACCGGAGAATGGTGATTTCGCTTGCTGCATCCTGACATCCATGTTTGCGGACGCGATGCGTGCGGCCTGGAAGTGGCGATTTCGCTCGGGGCTTCCTCGCGGCCACATGTTTCGCCCCATCTGATCTCGCCCGAAAGTTCAGATGCCGCGCAGTTCAGTTCAGTTCGCGCGTGTGCCAAAGCGCCGACACTGCGGACCCCTTCTGTTCAATCCGCCGAGTCCTGTCCGTCTTTGCCGTCTGACATTCGATTTGCTTCTCAGTGCACCTTGCAATGATTAGCTGGATTCCACGGGCTGTCACCTCGCCCAGTCCGTCTGAAGTTGGCCCGGGCGGTCGTGCGCGGGGGCGGTCGCCCTTTCGGATTGGATGTTGGGGGCCATGGTCTGGCGGCGCAGGGGCCGCGAGGCCGATCCAGTATTGATCGAGGACTGCGGGGCCAGGGGCGAACGTGAGTCGACGCCCGCGGTCGGGGGGCGGTCGAAGATGGGGCATCTGGGTCTTGGATCGTCGACCGACTCATGATTTTCGATTTCCCAGGGTGCCCATTGAGAGGTTCCTGGTTCGAGGGTCCAGGGTCGAGAGTGGACGAGGATCCTGGCTCCTCGATCCTGGACCTCGGATCTTTGTTCCCTGTTTCGCTGTCAGCGGTGCGCCGTCCCAGAGAAACGCACCTGCGCGGCGAAGCGCATGTGTTTTGTTGTGATCAGGCGAGCCGGGAGCCAGCGAGTGCGCGTCGAGGCCCCTCGTGGGGCACTCAGCAATTTGGGCTCGCCTGCGCCGCGGCCTCAGCGGCAGGGGCGGGCGGCGGGGTCCCCAGTCGTTGGAGGTCCTTATGGGGCTCCGTGCGCCCCCTCGGCGTCTCCCACCCTGGTGGGAGTTCGAGTGGCTCCGCCCGAGTGGGCCCCGGGGCGGGCCGAGGGTGGGGTGGGTCTGAACGCGAATGAGTTTGGATATGAGTGAGCCTGGGTATGCGTGGGCTTGGGCGTGAGTGAGCTTGTGGGGGGGGGGGGAGTGGGTCTGACTGAGCGTGCGTCTGAACGCAAGCGAACTTCAGTATGAGTGTGTCTAAGCATGACTGGGGTCTGAACATGAAGAGGGCGCGTGGGCGCGAGCAAATGCGGTTGCGATCAGCGGCTGAGTAGAAAAAGGTCTGTGCGCGAGTGGATGCGGGTGCGTCAGAGTTCTTGCGTGGGCTGGCCTGGGTCATCCATCAGTCTGCGCGCGAGAAAGCGCGGATATGAGTGTGTCAGACCATGCCACTTAATCATGAGTGGATCTGCGCGTGAGAGGGCGTGGCTGCGTCGAAGTCTTCACGGGGGGTCCGCATTTTTTAATCCAGCAGGTTGTAGTGGAACCCCTGGTCTGTTAAGGCCTTGTCTGCCAGAGCAGCGCGTTCGCGAGGCGTGCTGTCACTTCGCCCAGTTGCCAGTGGTGCGGGGGCGGCGTGGGCGCGCGCCGCCGTGGGATTCCCTGCCGCGAAGGGGCGGCGACCGCGGCGAGGGGCATGGGCCTCGAGGAGGTGCGGCGCGCGGGGGCCCACGCGGGGGTCGCAGACGCGGGCTTCGCAGGATGTCTGATCCCCTTGGGGCTGGGCGCAGTGCCGCCACCGGGCGCCGAGGGAATGTGCCTCCGAGCCGGCGTCTTGCAGCGTGGCGGCTTCTCGGGCCAGGTGTGTATTGGCAGCGAAGCCTTATTCCCGCAGTTGGTTGAATTCGCGATGACGAGGTGGGTTTGCGTCATGGTTCAGTTCGGAGGTGCAGTCGTCGGCAAGATGCTGGGGGCCGTGCCAGGCGTTGTGCAGGATATCGGGGTCGCTGAGCTCTACGCGCTGGCGAGGGTCTTGCGAGAAGTGGCCGCGGGCGAGCTGACTATTATCGCGGATTGCAGGAACTTGCTGGGGATTAGTTGAAAAGGCCGACCTGGTGTCAGCCTTGAATGCACGTGCGCGGAGCTCTGACGGGATGCCTGGTTCCGTATTCGCGACCTCGGGGTGCTTCGAGCTTCGCTGGGCGAGAGCCCACGCCAGCTAGGCTGCGGCGGTGCGCGCGGTGACGCCAGCTCACTGGCGCATCGGCAACAAGGAAGCCGACAGGAGGGCCAGTGGAGGCGCCCAGCTGCGCCGAGGTTCCAAGCAGTCTGAGGAGGTAGCCACCAGAGTGAGCTCGGCGACTGCGGCTGCCGCCAGCCACCTGCGCCACCGCGGCGCGGTCTTGAAAGGGGCCGCTTGCGCGGGGTAGTCTGATCGGGGTTCGCTGCCCCCCCGTGCCCCCAGCAGGCCAGCTCCTTGATATCCAACCCCGATGGACACGTTCTGGCTTGTCCTGGGAGTGCCTGGGGCTGCAGCAAATAGAGGCCTCGCAAGGGGTTCCGATTTCGTATAGCGTGCCGCCCTTGCCCAGGCGTGCCGAGGTCAGCGGTGATTGTTAATCCTTCCCATGAGGTGTGGGCGATTCGGGGTTGGCAGTCGGTCCGGGGTGGAAGGGGCTTCTGGGAGGGATGAGGCGATCGTCTTCTGCATAGTGTGTGGGGCTTACAGCCGTTAGCAGACCCATCTCCGCGCCCGGGCTCGTCAGTCCTGGTGCTTGCGTCCTGGGGGCTCTGTTCGCCGGGGCCAGATCGCCCTAGGTCGCCTCCAGGCTGATCGTGAGCTCCAGGCATTTGTTTTTTTGGGCCTGCCTTCTCGTCGCACTGCGTGTCCTCAGGAAGACGGAAAGTCCGATGGAACCAGTTTTGAATGCAGTTTTTGTTATGGGTTCCGAGGTGTGAGGCAATGCTTTGACCTTGGGCGGATCCGGCTTTAAGTAGGTAGGTGTTGTTTGCCGAGCCGACCGCGCCTCTTAGGAACCAGAGGAACCAAAGGCGGAGGTTGAGGAGGTGGAGGAGGAAAAAGAGGATGATGAGGCCGAGGGAGGGGAGGATAAGGGTCCAGTGTTAAGCCAAAGTCCGATGTTGGAATAAACCCTCCTTCCAAATCCGTCTTCGTTGACCCGTACAAGGGTTCATGTCTCAATCCGTGAAGGTTCTGGCAAAGTTATACGACGAGTGTGCGTGGTGCTAAGGCGACCTGCTCTCAAGTCGTGAAACTCTTGTACATGTTTGAAGCGACTTTGCGCGGCGTTAAGGCGATAATCACATGTTGAGAACCACCCGCCTTCCATCCGTGAAGCTGTTGCATTTCCTTAGGACAAATTTGCGCGGCGCTATAGCAACAATCCACATTTTGAAAACGGCCCGCCTTCAATACGTGAAGCTCGTACAATTTCTTAAGACGAGCGTGCGCGGGGCCAAGGCGAGAGCCGGATGTTAAAAATGGCTCGCCCTCGATCCGTGAAGCTCTCGTTAGCTCTGAGGAAGCATGTACGCGGCACCAATCGAGAGGCACATGTTGGAAGCGGCCCGCCCTCCATCTGTGAAGCTGTTGCCCTTTCTTACTCTTCAAGGTTATAATTGGTGAGGAAGTTTCAGAGGACCGAACCATCTTTGGCAGCCCAGCGGCCCAGACGGGGTGGGTAAACTTCACATCGGGGAGTCATGGAGAATCATGGGTTGGAGGATGCGGTCTGGGTTCGACAGGTGTCGAAGGTTTCCTATTGTTTTCGGCTGCTTCTGGAAATGTGGTCGCAATGAATATTTGGTCTGGTGCTTCTGCAGGCATTTGAAGGTTTTTGTGCCGCGAGGGTCAGAGGGGGGAAAGTGGATGATGATTCATGTTGAAGGGGGGCTTGGGGGTGGGTGGGTGACCCTTTGGGCCCGGGGGGGCCTTCGCACGACTGTCGGTGCGAACTTGATGCAAGGTCTCTGGCGTGGGGCTGTGACGGCATGTCAGGATCGGCTTCCGCTTTGGGTCTGGAAAAACAAGAAAACTGCATAAAAACAACTTTTCGGCGCTCCGCGCGGATTTCTAGAGTGGGCGCTGGGCCTCTCTGGCGGCGCCTTCGGCGCCGCCCTTGACGCGTTCCGCGCGCCAGGGAGGGGGTCCCCGCGCCGACCCAAGCAATTCGCGCGGACCTCCGAAAGTTTGTGCTTGTGCCGTTTTTCGTTTCTCGAACGGCAGCGGTTGCTCGAGGCAGTGTGTTCCAGTCCCCTGTTTCCTCCTCGACCTGTTTGGCCGCCCGGATTCCCCCTCGCAGCCTGCCGCGTGCTGCCGCCCGCTGCGATGCGCGCACCGCGTTCTCGACTTTGCCCGTGGCCTGGCTCTCAGCTGTCCAGTTGTCGTGGCGCCAACATTGCAGAGCGGATTCCGTTCGGAAAACGATAGGATGGGCCCAGGGTGTCCTGGAGAATTTCGTTCTGGATTTGAATCTCGTCGGATCTTTTTGGGCCAGGAATGAACACCAACAAAGAGCCACGCGAAATTCACTTTGTTTTTCGCCCGCCGCTTCGGGCAAACATCTACGCATAAATCCGCTGCACCACGTCTGCAAGGCTGGTGCAATGACAGTTGCTTGCGGCAAGCCCCATTCCCCTGGGCCGCACTCCGGATCGCTCGCCCATGGTTCCACCTTTCGGAGGTGGATAGACCTCCCACCCTGACACGTCGATTAGCGCATTGGCCGTTTTCGGTTCGCGAGAGGGCGCCGCGGCTGTCCTTTTTGTGGGTCCAGGTCTGTCGGTTTCGGTCCCAGGCCGTTTTCACTAAGTGAAAACCTCCCTTTGATGAAGCCGTTGGAGCATTTGTTTGGTATCTTTTTATTTTTCGTCAAAATCCCCCTGTAGGGGGACAGGCCCGACTTAAACTTACCCATCGGTCGTTGAAAATAGGTATTAGTGGATTCCCATATTCCAATCTACTCTCAGCGCCTTCCTACTTCAATGATCGAGTGGCTTCTCCTTTTCCGTTCTCTCAGGAGGGCTGATGGAACCCAATCAATTTTCAACGCCCTTCTACTTCATGTTTCTACCTACTTCTTCCGACCGATGGATACCAGTGTACAAAGTAAGGGCCGACCAGGTACTTGTCTGGTGCTTGTCTGATGTTGGAGGCGGCGGGGGGTCTGTGCTGGATTGGCACCAGCAGAATCGGTGAGGAGGGGAATTGGGGCGGATTCGGCATGGTACGTCGCTGCTCGAGGCCAGAGAGCATGGCGTGCGGAGGCTGAGGGCTACGCGCAAGACTTCTGATTCCAACCATGCATGCCAATTTCTCCACCGCCCACACGAATTGATAGCTTTCTGCCCACGTCCGCTTGCGGACCGCTTCGATTCGACCAGGCCTTGCGTGCCATGTGGTTCGGCAGTCAATGTCCGTCTGGAGCAAGCGGCCCATATGGGGACAGGGAACGAAATATGTAACATGTCCACAATTGTGCCTCTCCCCCCTCTAACGGCTGGAATCAGTGGTGCTCCACCTCAGCACCCCAGCCGACTCCAAGTTTGATGCACTTCCCTGGAGTCTTCGGCGTGCCCAGCGCTATCTTGGCTCACCGCCCTTGCCTGGCGCTAGGTGGCCGTCGCTGACTTCGTGAAGCCCTCCCCAGCTGGCACCACCTGGTGGGATGGGCGCTTCTTGCACGGGCTCTTCAGCTACCTTGCCTTCCTCACCACCGCCGCCGCCGCAACCTGCTGCTGTCGTTGCTCGGTGTGCGCGTGTGCGATGCGGTGCAGAGCAGAAGATACGGATGATCGTGGATGGATCCGCTGCACGCGTGTGTCGAGGACCTCGCCAGACCTGCGAGCACACCACGGGGTCTAGGAAGTTGGCATCCTCGCTCGGGCTCGTGCCCGCCTTGGATCCACCGCGTCTGCCTCCGCCTCCTCCTCTCAGTCCTCGGGATCTCTGTCCCGGTCATCTCGTCCTCGGAGGACCTGGAGGGCCCTCCCAAAACCACAGCGCTCCGAAACATCGACCCTCCTCCTTGAAGTCGTTTTCTTATTCATTGTGTTGCCGATCGGCGCGGGCCCTCGCACCCCCCCTCCCCTCCTCCCCCCATGGAGTAGATCTTGGCTGTTTTTGGCGCCTGTTTCAGGTAGGTGCAGTCTCCCCCACAGTACACTCTGTTGCAAACAGACGCACTAAGCAGAGGTCCGAAGCCAGACGCCCCTCCTCCCCTCCCCCCCTCTTCCGCCCAGTGTCGAAACGCCGAATGAGGAAACGCTCGCCTTCGCCTAGACTGGCGAGCTCCAGTGCTCGATGCCGAGCTTGTTCTGGGCCAGTTCTCGATTCCCCGCAGCGCAGAGATGATGGTAATGTAGCGCGTCCTCTATGATTACCCCCCTTGCCAACATATATATATATATATATATGTATATGTCTCGTATATATAATACATATACACATTTATGCACATGTATGTATGTATGTATGTATGTATGTATGTATGTATGTATGCATGCATGCATGCATGCATGCATGCATGCATGCATGCATGTATGTATGTATGTATGTATGTATGTATGTATGCATGCATGTATGTATGTATGTATGTATGTATGTATGTATGTATGCTTGTATATGTATGTATGTATGTAGTATGTATGTATGTATGTATGTATGTATGTATGTATGTATGTATGTATGTATGTATGTTGTATGTATGCATGCATGCATGCATGTATGTATGTATGTATGTATGTATGTATGTGTGTATATATATATATATATATATATATAGATAGGTGTGTGTGTGTGTGTGTGTGTGTATAGATCAGCGGCACAGGGACAGCAGGCCGAACGCAGGAGTTCGCTGACCTCGACCCCTTGCCCCGATCTCTCCGGTGGCTGCCGCCCCCCGCCCCCCGCCCAGGGCCTGGCCGCACGCCGGCGCCTTCTGGTCGAGAGGGCACGCCTCGCCGAGGGATCACAGCCGTGGGCGCCCGCGCCACGCGCCTCGCCCTCCAAGCACCCCCCCCCTCCTGCCCCTCTCCTCGTCCTCCCCTCGCCTTCCCCCCTCCCCATCCCCCCTGCCCCCCTGCCCCCCCCCCTCCCCCCCCTCCCCCCGCTCCCTGCGCCTCATCCTTTTCCGCTTCCCTCTGCCCCTACACCCCTCCCCGGCCCTTCCCCCCTCCACAATTACACGATATGAATACTACTCTCCTCTCTCCCCTGGTGACGTCCAGGAAATGTTCGGCCCCCCTCCGCGTACGGTTTTTTACACAGGATTCCCAGGAACTGGGTTTTCGCTTGGGTTATGTTCAAAGTTCTGCTCTCGCTGCAGCGCTGGCTTCATTTTCGGACTACCGCTCGTTCCGAATCGTGCTCCCGCTGCAACGCTGGCCTCATTTCCGCGCTTCCGCTCGTTCCGAGTCGTGCTCCCGCTGCAGCGCTGGCGTCATTATTTCCAACGCCATGCCACGGCATGGTTTCTGGACCTTCCAATTTCTCTAAAATATAGAACCCCCCCCCGAAAAAGCCATCAAAAGTGATTCCACACTCGGTGTCGATTCGTCGATTTTTTGGGTCGCAGAAGCCCCCCCCGCTTTGGGGCGTCGCCACACCATGCTATGTCCTTCTACCTGTTAGTTTTCAACACCATGCTATGCCATGTAATGCTATGCCCTGCTATGACGTCCGACTGTGCGAATAGAGAGGAGTGATCTACGCCATGGTAAGGGATGGGATGGAGCGGTAGGACGTCAGATATGACGCGAGCGCACCTAGCTTGTCGTCCCCCCCTCGCCGTCCCCCCCTCCCCATCCCCCCTGCCCTCCCTGCTCCCCCCGCCCCCTGCCCCCCCCCCCCCTTTCCGCCTCCCTCTGCCCCTCCCCCCCGCCCTTCCCCCCCCCCCCCTCTCCCCCTCCCCCTCCTCCGCGCCCCCTCGCCCCTCTCTCTCTCTTTCTCTCTCTCTCTCTCTCTCTCCCCCTCCTCCGTCCCTCCTCCCCCTCCCGCCTCGTCCAGGCTTTCCCTGCTCAGTGTACCATCGCGATGGAGAGCAGGAGGAGGAGGAGGGGGAGGGGGAGGAAGAGGAAGGGCGGATGGCAGGATGCAAGTGTTGTCTCCTCCTCCTCCTCCTCTTCCGAAGGGCATCGCCTTAATGAGGTCATTGCCTCCATGCGCGTCTCCTCCTCCTCTGGGAGGGAGGGAGGGAGGGTGGGAGGGAGTGAGTGAGAGAGAGAGAGAGATATAGGAAGAGAGGGCGAGAAAGCGAGAGGGAGAGAGAGAGAGAGAGGGGAGGGGAGGGAGAGAGGTAGGGAGAGAGGAAGCGATATGTATGTATATATATATATATAGAGAGAGAGAGAGAGAGAGAGAGAGTCAACGGAGGCAGCAAGAGATGCATCGCTCAACAGCGCGGGTGCGGCAGGGGACTCGGCGGCACTTGCGTCAACGTAGGCGGGGCCGCCAACTGCGCGCGCCGCCCCCCTCGCACTCCTGCTCGTCGTCGTCGCTGCCGTCGCCGCCCTCGTCCTCGTCGTCTTCGTCGTTTTCCTGCTTCCTACCGCTTCCCCTCCTCGTCTTCTGCCTCCTCTGCCTCTTTTCGCCTCCTTCTTCTCTTCCACTCTCCTCTCCCTTCTTTCTCTTCGTCATCCCGCTGCTGTTGCTCAGCCTCACGGTGACGCGGCGACGCAACGAGCGAGGCGAGCGCGGCACGACGGAACGAATCAATGCGGCGTGGCGTCAAATGAGGCGACGCTGCTTGGCGTGAGTTTTGTGGTTTGGCTCGAGCAGCGCATGGATCGTGTTTTGTTTTAGTGATACCATGGCTTTCAGAACACTGCAAGGCGGAACGCGACCTCCACCCTCGCTCTCGCCTCCCCCCCTCGCCCTCTCCCTTTCTTTACAACCGAGGTACAACGACAATGCGAAATCTCGCGCAGCAGAAGTCGGACATGCATTTGTTTTGTTATGTGAAGAGCTGGTTCGCCTACGAGGTGCTGGCTTCGCGCCGTGCCTTGCGATCGTGTTTGTGCCCTGGCTCGGACCCCGGCCCATCTGGATTGCCCTCTTCCACTGCCTCGAGCCCGCTTGGGCGCTCGCCCAGTGCCTTGGTGCTGGCGCCTCCGTCGGCCCGTCGTCCTCTCCTTGCTCTGTCCCCCGACTCGTAGGCAGAGAGGGAGGGAGGGAGAGAGGAAAACAGGATGGAGGAGGAGGGGGAGGAGGAGGAGGAGGAGGAGGAGGAGGAGGAGGAGGAGGAAGACGAGGAAGACGAGGAAGAGGAGGTGGAGCCACATAGCTCACTTGATGACTACGAACCCAATGTCCTCCTCATGTCCTCCTCATCCACAAGTAAAAGCCACGGGCAATCCGCCATCCTCGATCAGAGGTCTCCTGCTTCGGGGCAAGACTTGATGGCCTCCCTCACGTCGGTGCCGGCCCTCTTGGCCCAAGGAGAAACGTTCAACGTTAACCCCGTAGCAGAGCACGGCCACCGATCACCATGCTCAAACCCCATACCACCTCCGAAAAGAGCCAGGATGATTTGGACGTGGAAGCTCTGATTCCGAGCCCAACTCGTTGTTACCAATTCAAAAGACGAGCCAACAGCTCCGAGTAACAATCCCGAGTTGCTAGATAACGAGCGTGATCGTCGTCATCCTGGGCTTGTGTGCATGCTTGTCCCCAGCATTGCCGTGCTTCCTTGTAGACATGCCACATGCCGATCAAAAAGAGTGTGCCACTTGTCCCAGAGTATGAAGGGTTCCAGTCCAGAAAGCAGTGACTCTGACCGATGAAGATGACCCTCTTCAAGGCCTCCGGGTTCTCCATGGATCAGAAGGCGTCCATGCTGTAAAACCTGGACGCCGCATTCAGTCGACGCTCAAGCTCAGGGGATGCCAGCTTCAGCGGAGTGATCATCGGGCCTAAGTATCGATTAACGTCCGAGACCATCGCCGCAAGACGACCCCCTTCAGTACCATGGGAACGTTTTTTTACTTTTGAATAGAGGATAGCCTGCACCAGCCATGCATTACGTAATCGAGTCACCTGTTTTGTCTTGTTCTGCACATATCCCGTTGTAGCAGGATAGGCGTCCAATAGAGCGTGTCAAATATATCCTCCATTCCTTCACCAGGCAAAATGGGATCAGTCTAAGCAAGTCGTCGACATACTCTTGATATGACATATTTGTACGTGTATATATATATATACAGCGGTCCAGTACTAGGGATCTTCTCTTTAGGATTCACTTACTTTCGAGCGGTCTAGTAATATGGATCTTCTCTCTAACCTTCTGGGCCCACTCCGACACCGGTTTGACGAACACCCCTGCAAACCCCTGGAAGTTGAAAGGATTCCCATCACTCCTCTGCAACCCGTCTTCTCCATCAGTGGTCCTGTGGTTATCTCTCTCTCCACGACCGAGGGCCGATGCCTTTTACTGTAGAGAACCCTATCTTCGGGGCCCGAGTGGTCCTGGATAACCTGGTGATTTTTTTTTCCAAGCCACGTTCCAAACGCGGTAGACAGATTCTTCATCGTGATGCCGTAATTCCAACCTGCTTGACGCAACACGAAGCCCATCGCCACGATGCTCATCACTGCATCCTTTCTCTTACCATGACGAGCGAAGCCGTGATTTTGGGGAGGGATGGTAAGGGGTATTTTGCCGAGCATACCATGCCTTGCCAATCGAGGGTCATGTAATAATGAGACGGCGGCCGCGAGGGCCAGCACTATCTTTCTTGTATCAAAGCCAGAACGTGTGGGCTTATACTGCACCCAGACAATACCAAAATTCTTACCAGCCTTACCAGACGACAATTGCGGACCATTACGCACACCTGCGTTGACGGCGACAATATTGAGATTCCCAGCACAGACCAGACAAACAAACACCTCGGCCGCAAGTTCACGGTTCCAGAGAACGGCTACCACCGCACAGAGTTCACCAACAGAATTGCGGCAGGATGGCGCAGGTTAAATCAGCTCCGTGACGAACTCACCGACAAACGGTACCCATTACACAGCACATTTCGCCTTTTCAACGGAACAGTGACGCCTAGTGTCATGTACGGCTGGATATCCTGGACGATGACCAAGGACATGCTCCAAACGCTGACGCGCACTCAGCGACGGATGCTGCGACTCATCGTAAAAATCCCACGACGTCGAACAGTTCACAATGGCACCGCCATCGACAACACCAGCAGCACCGACGCAGGAACGCACGTAGACGATGGAAGCGAAGCCAAGACGAGTTTAGACGACAATGACGACGACGACGACGGATTGCAAACCGATGGTGGCGACGCCGACTCCGACCTCGAACCATGAGAAGATTTCATCCGCAGAGCTACGCACACAGCAGTAGATCTTGCAAAAAGAGCATGCGTCGATGAGTGGACGACGGTGTACGTTCGACGAAAATGGCAGTGGGCAGGGCGAGTCGCAAGTCAACAGTGCAACATGGGCTCGACTTGCTGCGACGTGGGAGCGGGATATCCACGACCACCGGCAAGCAGTCCGCAGTCACGGGGGTCAGAGGAAACTATGGGAAGACGATACCACGATTTCTGACAACAAGCATGTTTTTTCTCCAACCGGGCAGCGGACGGTTTGCATTAGGACAAAACAGCAGTCAATAGAGCAATTTCGAACAAACATCTATACGCCACACACAGCACTGACCACAAGTTCACATTTGCGACTGAGGGCCCCGGCCCGCCCGCGATGGCCTGGACTCAGGCGCGCCTTGCCCTTGCCCTTGCCCTTTCTTGTGTCATCCAATGCCTTTGAGGGGTGCCAAGTCACATCTACGAGCGAACAAGGTTTTGGTGAACAGTATGGTGACCCACCTTGAAATCCGGAAGAGTCTCATGGTCTCTCCGACCTGAGGCGAGAGAAGCATATCCCAAACTTCTAAGGGGGCCGTGCCAGGGGGAACGGCCCGACGTTTTACTAGCTTTGCGACAGTGCTTTCGACCTGCTTTGAAGGCCAACGAGCCTGACTCTTCTGGGGTACCTTCCTCGCCGGCGGGGAGGAGGAGGAGGAGGAGGAGGAGGATGAGGAGGAGGAGCTGGAGGATGAGGAGGAGGGGGAGGTGGAGGTGGAGGGGGAGGGGGGGGAGGAGGAGGAGGAGGAGAAGGATGATGATGATGATGATGATGATGAGGAGGAGGAGGAGGAGGAGGAGAAGGAGCTGGCAACGATTGAAAGCACGACCTCCGAAGCGACCGCTCCGGAGGAGCAGGGCCTAAAGGTGCCGCCCGCCGCGTCGTTCTGCCCCCAAGAGCGGCCGCGAGCAGCGCGGCGTGAAAGGTGCACCGCGTCAGCCAGGCGTCGTGGGCGCCAGGCCTTCTCGATGCACGCCAGTCGCTGACAGCAGGTAATTTTCTTGACTCCCGGATCCCAGTCTACTCTTTAGCCGCATTCCCACTCCATCAGTCGGCTGGTTTTCCCCCTTCACGGGGCGGGCGTGAACCCAGTCTGCTTCCAACGCCTCCCTGCTTCATGTTGCTGCCCACCTCTTCCGACGGACGGGTGAGCTCCACGTGCAGTGCCTTCTCAGTTCCTGGAACGAGCCGCCGCTCGGCCTTGAGACGAGCTGATAGACGTCGAAGCTCCTGGTCCGCCCCCTCCAGCTCCCTCGTCGTCTCCACCTCCCTTCTCTTCCAGGAGCGGAAGAAGCACGTACGCGTGCATGAATCCACGTTGGTTTCGAGAGTACGCGCTGCGCGAACGTTTGTGTTTTGTGTAACGTCCCGCAGTTCCCGTCGCCGATTGGGGTCTTGGGAGTTTGGCGCAAGAGTTTCCCGACTAAAGTGCCGAAGACCGATGGCACGTATACGTTCTTCCAGAGATTCGACCGCCTGGTCAGGGGAGCCCGTTCGAGTAGGACTCAACAAATCCACCTCGCCACCCCCAAGCTTTTTCTACCATTTCACGAAGAAAGGGTACCTTGCCCCTGCCAGTACGGATCGCCTGCATCAGTGACGAAGGATTCATTGTTGGAGGAGGTTGTGGAGAGATTTCTAGGTAGACAGGTGCGTGGTCCGGTGGTGGCAGTTTTCTGACGGCTTGCACTTTCGCTCTGAGCCCCCGCGGGGGATGAGAGAAAGCATGCTATACGATGCTGGTGCCTCAATGCGGGGAACAGAAAGTCGGTGAGGGACGGCCTGGATGGATGACCGCCAGAAGAGAAGGCATACTCCAGGGGGAAGAACGTGGCGGGGATGCACATGTGCTGCTGCTCCATGAACTTCCTGACCTCCTCCTCTGCTCCCCTCCTTCGGTGCTTCTGCGTGCGAGTGTCCCTGACCGCTGTTGATGGAACCGCTTCCCAAGAGTCGCCTAGCTTAGACACGCCCGCACCATGTCGAGGTCGGCATCGAATATGGGGAGGGTGCGAGCATGACGAGAATGTCGACGCTCTTTCCACCACTGAACTAGCACCTTTCCCGTTGAGACATATCCACCTACTTCGTCCCATCGAGAAGGTTGAGAGGGGAACGTGCAGTGCGCCACAGACTTGTGGAAGTCGATGAATGGAGAGGAAGCATGCTGCGAAATCATTTCCAGATGTCTAAAATATGTTTCAACTATGTTTTAAAGATGTTACAAACATGTTTAACACATGTTTAGAACATGTTTTACACATTTTAAACACATCTCTAATTCAATGATAGGGTTGTTAAAGTGTCCATTGGCATGGCATCCACAGCCATAGACCACGTCCTGCGCCGCATACTTCGCACGTGATGCAGCCGCTCGGCCTGCCGTGCGAGGCGGTGCCGGCTAGGTCTTGACGATTTCTGTTTCCTTGCATGGCTTCCCAATGCACGCCGCGCAGCCTGTGCTCCGACTTGTCAGAGGGCCGTGCTTGACGACGGACTCGTTCACCACTCGACTCCCACACCGACGACGCAGAGCCCCCTTCTCCCCGACGACGCGTTTCCTTCTCTCACCCGCGGGTAGCAACACATCAGATTTTCTGCTGTTCAACAGCCAGTCATTCAATCTCACACCCGTTGCATGCGTGGGGTTGACGCTGGGACCGCGAAGAGCATGCCGCATCGGCGCCATGGGTCGTCCTCGGGAGGGGTTCTCCCGGACCCCCCCCACACCCAGTGATTTTTGTACAGAACCCCAGGTGCAGTACCAGAATATGCACCGCGCGCCAGGGCTAGGAGGAGGAGGAAGACCCGAGTAAATCCAAGGCACATCAACAAAGTTGCAATACACCCTCCGTCTAATTTCCCTCTCCACAGGTTGCTGCAACAGTCGTTTCTCACGGTGGGAAGTGGCCGATTAGGAGACACCGTTTGGGAATCCCCAACCTTGTAAAACACCATTCCTGGGACTTGAACGTCGCTTATCAACCTAATTGTTGCGCCCAGACAATCCTAAACCGTGCTAGAATGCCATTCTTTGGACTTCGCATGACTTTGGCGTCCTGACAATCCTAAATCGTGCCAGAAAGCCAAGCCTGGAAATCCATCCGTGCGACTCCTTGAAACTGTTGTAGACCTTTAAAACGAATGTGCGCGGCGCCAAGGCGACGAATGTGCGTGAGGCTACAATGCGTGCCACACTTCGAAAGGAACCGCCTTCCATCCTCGAAGATGCTATAAACTCTTCAGACGAATTTGCGTCGCGCCAAGGCGAGAGCCACATTTTGAAAACCACCCGCCCTCCAACTCTGAAGTTGCTGTGCTGTTTTTTAAGACGAGTGTGCGCGGCGCTATAGTGCGAGAGCCACGGTTTTCAAAACCACCCGCCCTCCATCCGTGGAGCTGTTGCGAGCTTTATTGAGACGGAGGTGCGCGGCGCGGAGGCGAGAGCCACATCTTGAAAGCCACCCGCCCTCCACGCGTGAAACTGCTGCAACTTTCAAGCCTCGGGATCATGAGTGGTCAGGCAGTCTCTGGCGATGCGCCTGACCCGGCCCGCCGACACGTCTGAGGGTGCGACGGGCAGGAGTTGTTCACAAGGGGAAGGAATGGAGGAGCCGGAGGAGGAGGCATGGAGGAGGAGGAGCAGCAGGAGGAGGAGGAGAAAGAGGAGGATGAGACGAGGTAAACAGAAGAGGAAAACGAGGAAAAGGAGGACGCGGAAGGGGTGAAGGATAACATGGAGGAGTTGTAGGACGAGAAGAAGGCGGCGCATGACAGATGTTATGAGGAAGGAGGAGGGAGTTGCGCGCTTTGTTGTGCCAGCGTTCCCAGTGTTGCCAGGGAACTCAGTCTGTGCGTGCGGGTTCGCTTCCAGCACGCACGCAATGCAGTACGATCGTCGTTCTTTTGATGAGCCTTCCGCTGCAGGGCCCGTGCTTCTCCCCTCACGTGCCATTCCAGTGCCCCTCCCGTGAGCTTCGTCAATGTGCCGGCCTGTTTCTGCTGCGTTTTTTTTTGCTAGCGTTGCCGTCAGCACGCCAAGCGTGCTGGCCCGTAGGAGCCGCGCATCGAATTACCAGTGTTGCTGGCAGGAAGCTCGCTCCGACCATGCTGGCTCAGATATTGGAGCTTTTCGCAGTGCCAAGGATCGTGCCAACTACCCAGGATCATTCCAAGCATGTCGGCTCGCTTTCGGTGATCATTCCGCTGCTAGCATCGCTGCCGGAAAGTTCAGTCCAAGCGTTCCAGTTCGGTTCTGGCGCGCATTTCCTTTCTTGAATGGGTTGGCCCGGGTTGGCCGGGTTCGGCCTGGGTTGGCCGCGTTTTGCAACCGTAACTCTTCGATGCGTAGGCAGTTCTTTGCATAACGTTTCGTAGCCGCCAGGCTGCATCCCGAAGAAGCTCATGCACCACGCCGCGCTCTTCCGCGAGAGCATGGCGCGCCCGCTATCCCGCCCGGCTCTCTCGTTCTCTCTCTCTCTCTGTCTCTCGTCTCGCCTCGCCCCCCCGTCCTCCCTGGCGTTTCTTTTCTGGAGAGCAGTTCATGGGGCAAGGAAGGTTAGCCCCAAACGGAGGAGGAGAAGGAGGAGGAGGAAGGAGGAGGAGGAGGAGGAGGAGTAATTACGATCGAAGGCGAAAAGGGTGGGTATGCAGGGTTTGGGGGGATGCGTGCCTGTCGAAGATGGCACGCGAGCAGCGAAGAGCGACCAGTCCTGATATGGCTCTGGTGTCGTTGTGTTTTTTCGTTTTGGTTGTGACTGTTTCTGCTCGTTTTCTATGCTGTGTTCTGTCGATCGTTTGTGTGTGTGTGTGTGTTGCCGCAGTTTGGTTAGTAAGTTTTTCTTTTGGGGATGAATGCAGCTGGTTCTTTGTTATGTTTTGTTAATTGTTTGTGTGTGTGTGTTGCCGCATTTTGTATAATCAGTTTTTTTTGGATGAATGCAGCCGGTTCTTTGTTATGTTTTGTTGGTTGGTTGTTTGTTTGTTTGTGTGTGTGTTGCTGCATTTTGTGTAGTAAGTTTTTTCTTGTGTGGTCCGAATGCAGCTGGTTCGCTGCCCCCCCCTTTGCTGTCCCCCCTCCCATTCGTGCGCCCCGAGCTTCGCTCGCGATGCTTGCTCCTTGTAATGGTGTGCACCTGTTGAGGAGATGCCCAAGGAAACGGACGGTGGCAGCAGGCCGAAGCGCCCCGACGCTCCTGGTTGGCCGAACGCATTGCCTGTCAGAGTCGAAGTTTGCCTTTGCATAGAACGGTGCCGATGGCAAGCTCCGTAGCCAGGGCATGCGTCGGCGGCGAGCAAGGGGGGGAAGTGAGAAGGGGCGGGCCTTGTCAGAAGGCTCGGAAGTCGCCCGGCCTTCTGAGAAGTTTTACGCCTTCCCCGAAAACAGAGAGAACTTCTCAGAAGGCGCGAGAAGCATCCCGCCGCCTTCTGAGAAGGCCTTCTCCTTCTCATTTCCCCGCCTCGCTCGCCGCCAAATGCAGGCGTGTGGGAGAGGGATGTAATAGAAGACGTGAGCGAATTGTGGGTTCGACTGCGATGATCAAGGCGGTCCGCGCTTCGGTCGGTTCGGACGCGTCGCGGTCGTTTGTGTTCGGTCGGTTCGGTCCAGTCAGTTGCAAATTGTTGTGTTCTTCCTGCGACGCTGCGCCCTTGTATGCTGCTAGCGGCCTGTCGGTTTCCGTCGGTTTCGATTTTGCTGTCAGTTCGGTCGGTTTTCGGTTGTGCGGACAGGCCAGAGCACATGGTTGCGACCGAGGCAGCAGGAGCAGCAAACGGACTAGAGGTAGCGCTGTTGACGCACTCGTAGATGTACGCTGCTCGGTCGTGTTTGTCTCGGCATCTCATCAGATAAGCTTCGCAGAAAAAAGCGTCGCACTCTGAGTCATAGTGATCTCTGACGATGGCCTTCTCTGTGCCACGTGTGCTACTATACACAGCACCATCAAATACTTGGGACAGGCCATCACATCTCACGACGCCGCTGCGACCGTGCTCAAACACCGCATCCGAGCAGCGTGGGCATGCTCCAGTATCTATAGACAAGAGCCCACCAGCAAACATTATCCACTGGGCAACAGACGACGACCATGCAGGGGAACCGTAATGTTTACAATGACGTATGGCGCCGAAACGTGGACTCTAACATAACCCCGTAAACAACAGCTGTGCAGATCACACCGACGAATGGTCAGAACAATTATCGGAACACCACTTCGGCGCACGACAGCCTCACCTTCACAACGCCCTAACCCAGAAACGAGTCAAAGCGATGGCCACGGCACTGGGGACACTGTGACGACCGACACCAGCGAATCAGACGTGTGCAGCAACGCGCTCGATTTCTTTGTTGTCTCTCGCGTTAGGACGCGCGCGTAACGAACCTCAATGCTCGGCTGGATGCCCCGTTGAGCCATCATTTGCCTCAGGAGTTGTGGCTGAAAAGGGGTCGCGCCGAGCATTTCTGTGCATGCGCACGTTGCGTGGAGGCCTTTCCCGACGCAACGCGACGCGGGTTGTCACAGGCCTGAGGCTTCTTGGGATTTGTCTTGGGAGGAATCTAATTGGGGTGGGCTCTCGGTCAAGGAACTTTGGCAGAATTTGATCAGCAATGTTGAGCAAGAGTTGTGTGACCAATTTGATATCGATGGGCCTCTTCGGGGTGGACATCGTGGTCGAGCGTCTGGGTTTCGTCGTGAACAGGTTCCAGCCCAGTCGCCCTTGTCGAAGAAAATCGCAGTCTCACAGCTCCAACTCGTCGCATGCTTGGCGATCTCTGGTCGCCTACTTGGCGCAGGCTGCTCGTGTTCTTGTTATTGCGGATGCTGATCAGCGATGCCAGAGTTGAGTCGGGCATGTTTCTCTACAGGAGGCATATTCAACTCAACCCGAAGGCCCCGATTTGCCCTCCATTTCCAGTGGGTGTGTGTGGGGGAACACTGAACACATGCATATGAAGTCCGTACCCCCGCAACCCGAAATTCGGATCTTCGGGTTGGGTTGGGGTGGTCTGGTAGGTAGTCACCGTCGGGGCCCACGACTGGGCGCTCCAAGGAGTCCAGGCAGTCCAGGCGCCTACATGAAGGAAGGGGGCAACCTTTGGGGCGTCCTCAGCGAGAGCACGAGTGTTTTTGGGTGACCCGAAAGGGGGTCCAGCTGAAAGGGGGTGGTGCGATAGATTTGGGGGCAACTGTATTACAAATGTATTGCACTGTATTGCAACTCATGTCTTGCACACGAAAATCCAGCAATACAATTGCCTCCCGGAATGTATTGTACGCCCCAAAGTTATTGCAACCCACAAATTAATTGCGCCAGATCCATTGCGCCACCCCTTTGTAGCTGGACCCCCTTTTGGGTCAACCAGAGTGTTGGTCAGGCACGTTGGCTTACAGCGGCGCCTCTGTTACCCCAGCCTTCTCTGGACAACGCAAGGTCGGCGCTCCTTCATTCTAGACGCGACGCTGTCATAGGTGTGGGCTGCGTCGGTCCCAGAAGCTTGCGATCCATGTCTGCTTGGCATAGGTATATCGACAGGTCGAGGGATATGCAGATGGAGTGTGGACGGAGTCCTGCGATGTCTGCACTATGGCAAACCGTGCGCGCTTGTTATGGCCAAGCCCGACCGATACGGGCTGCAGCCGATGGCGACGATATTCTCGTTGCTGCGCGTGTGTGCCCGTGTGCGACAGCCTCTTGCAAAACAGTGGGAGAAAATACAAGCCTAGCGTTGCTGGCGGACTTGCGGCAATGAGTGCGACACGTGTTGGCGGCGTCTGTCCTCGTAACACAAATCACCTCAGCAACCCTCTTCTCCGACCGGCGTCGGTTCTTTGAACATATCAGTCATGGTTAGTACGTGAAGGCATGGCCACAACCTTCGACTATCGTGTGCTTGCTGCTGCTTCTGTTCTTTTTATGCAGGTCCAGGGGGGCTGGCCTTCCAAGGAGCGGTATCGGAGGTGTTCAGTGTTCCTGGTGCAGTACTTGCGGGATGTAGTATTATTGTCTTGGCGTTGGTCAAAGTCTTCTGCTGCCGCGCTCTCGCGAATGTTGCCGATGCTCATCGTGCTGCGTACATTCATGACATTGTCGGCAACATATTTGCTCAAGGGCTGGGTGCTGGCAGGTACGTTTTTGCAGAGATGACCGTAATCGGACACCGTCTGGTCGACAGCTTTCAGAGGTCGACGAAGCTGGCCATCTCAGCGCAGAAGGCTAATTTCCTCACGTCGTCGAGTGCCGTGGCTGATGACGCCGCGGAGGCTTGGGACTCCGAAGGGTGTCGTCCGCAGCTTGGGGTGCGACGCTGTGGCAGGGCGGCCCGCGCTTGGAATGCTATTGAAGAGGGGCTAGGAGGGGGGGCCTCGAGGTAGAGGCGGTTGAGGGCCGCGGGCAGTAAAGTGGGACAGTTGCGCAGAGCGCGGTCCCAGGCGGGCTCCACGTGGGGGTGCTCGGTGCCTGGGCTCTCGGGAGGACGAATCAGGAGTCTGAGGATTGCAGTCTTGCGAAGCCCGTGTAAGGACATATCAGCGGCCTCCTGAGGAGTCAAGATGCAGGCTTCCAAGCAAGCCAGAGATATGCAGTCGGGTGACCTTGCTGTGGGTCAGGGCCGTCTGTGACAGCGCCGTAAAGTTAGAGTTTTTTTTGGTTGTTCTGAAGTAAGCTGTCGATGATATATCTTCTACGCAGACCTCGTGGAGTAAGTTGAGTTCCCCGCTCGCGTCCTCTTGATGGCTATGCGCGATATTGGTTGGCGGGCTATTCGGCTCGGCTTATCGAGTCGTACGCTGGCGACGCCGGTCACCTTTTTCAGCTTGCCCCCGATGCGTTGAGCAAATTTTCTGCTGAAGCTGCTCGGGATAGTTCGGGTGTGGCCGCGTTGAGAACGCGGCGTTGCAGCGCGACGTGGTGCATGCTTATTTTGTGGGATCGTTTTCAGAGCCACTATGGGAAAGGCGAGCGACGAGGTCGGCATGATCGCTATGAAAGTTGTTTGCGTTCATCCGTCTCTCTCACGACATGGACAATGGAACCGAGGTTTAACCGAAAGCTTGCGGACGCGGGCATTTGCCAGACCTGTCGTCAGGATGTTGTTTCGTTCTTCCACGATCGTTTTGGCTGTGATGTTTGGATGCTCGGACAGGAAGATTTTTGGTCAAATGTATTACTGGCGGCTGCAGCAAAAATTTAGCGGTGGCATCAAAACGGGAGGAAGTCTGCGGCTTGCTTGGTCCCGTTCTCTCGCGAGATAGTCCTGAAGCCCTCCTTGCCCATTGAAGCTGTATACACTGGACATGGATCAAACGCCCAGCTGACGGATATTGTGAAGGCCTTGGGGCCGGTGCGGCCGACCCAGACGGGCAACGAACATGAGGAGGAGGAGGAGGAGGAGGAGGAGGAGGAGGAGGAAATGGAGGAGGAGGAGGAGGAGCAGGAGTGATGAGAGGATGAGGAGGAGGATGAGGGACGGCCTAGGAGGAGGAGGAGGGAAGGAGGCAGGAGGATGAGACGTGAGGAGGAGGACCCAACTCCATTGTCATAGGCCCCTACAACTGCCCTGTTGGGAG